ATCTGACTTTTTTTTTTTTTGAATTGTGGTAAAATACACATAACATAAAATTTTACCACATCACCCGTTTTTAAATTGGGGCCATTCAGTGGCATCGAGCACATCCACAATATTGCCCGTCACCACCATGCAGTTCCAGAACCTTCCTGTCACCCCAAAAGGAAAACCTGTACCCATCAAACGTCACTCCCTGTTCCTCCCCACTCTCAGTCCCTGGCAACCACTAATCTGCTTTCGGTGCGTGGATTTGCTCATTCTGGGCATTTCACGTAAGTGGGATCATACGACATGTGGCCGTGTGTCTCCCGCATCTTCCACTCCGCACACGGTCTTCACGGTATTCCGTTCCTTTTTCTGACGGAACGCTAGTCCAGGTCTGGGTAAGCCGCGCTGCGTTGAGCCACTTGTGCGACGATGGGCATCTGGGCTGTCTCCACCTTTTGGTTATCGTGAAGCCAAGCGCTTGGCCCTTAACTGACTTCCAGTTTTCGGCTCCCTGCTAGGTTTAGGGTCCAACAGCAGCTGCTGGGAAGGCTGTGCGACGAGGACACCCAGCAGTCCCCCGCCTGTCTCGGGCAACACCACCCATTCCTTCCCAAGGTCTTCTCAAGAGCCCCACCCCCAGCAAGCTGACCCCGTACACCTGTCCTCATGCCAACAGCCCACACGGTAATCCTGCCTTCCCCATGAGCCATCGGGAGACCCTGCATTGTCCCTGCCTTCCTACTGGGTTTTTACTGAGCATATGACAAGCCCACCGCTGAACCAGAGCCGTCACCCGGATTCATCTCACGAAGCCCCCACGGCGACCGTACGAGGCAGGGCTATTATCACAGCAGGGCCCCCTTATCCGCGGTTTTGGTCACCCACGGTCCGGAAGCAGGTGATCCCCCTTCTGATGTGTCATCGGGTCAGCAGTGTCACGTCACCCTTATGCCCACCTCCTTCGTCCCATCCCGGGGGCATTTTATCATCTCCCAGCCTCACAAGACAAAGGCTGAGCACAGGACGGTAAGATTATTTTGAGAGACCGACCACATTCGCGTGTCTTGCGTTACACATACCGCCATAGCTGTTCTGTTTTATTATGAGTTACGTTGTTCGTCTCTTACTGTGCCTGGTTGATTACTCAAACTCTAACACAGGTATGCACGTAGGGGGCAAAGCAGAGTACGTATAGGGTTCCGTACTGTCTGTGGGTGCAAGCATCCACTGGGGGTCTTGAAACGTGTCCTGTGTGGATAAGGTTGGGGTTGGGGCGGCATGGGAGGCGGGACTACTGTCTCAGGAAACCAGATCAGGCACAACTCAGGGTCTCGGGCTCCTGATTCGGTCAGTGCTCCGTCAGCCCCCTGTCCCGCCCCCCAACACCTGGCCAATACCCGCATTCAAGTGTTACCAGGTGGTTTTTTCCACGCTCACCCAAAAGGAGAAAACCCCAAAAGGAGAAAGACCCAGGCTCATCCAGATGGAGGTCTATATAAACCCAATTTCCTCCCATGAAAAAAAAAAAAATAGAAGTATCAAGAGGCGACCAGATGAGACACATCTAGGGTCACCGCCCCCCCCCCCCCGACCCAACACCCACACCTGGGGGTGGAGTCCTTCCTCCAGCCACTGGGCTCCGTGGACGGGATGTCTCTGCAGGGCTGGTTGCCCGGATCTGGGGCCTTGGGAGCAGGAGGCAGGGTGCAGGCCCCCAAAAGGGTGAGCCACAGAGCAAAAGTGGCAAACGTGAAGACCAGGCCTTCCCCAGCCGTCGTCAACTCTTCACCCCAGTACCTCTGCCCACACCAAGCTCTGCAAGGGGCTGGGGAAGAAGCCCATCACCAGAGGCACGGAGACAGCCAGCAGGCATGATCTGAAGGTCATTGCCACCGGGAGAGGCAGGGCAGGGAGGGCCCCAGCAGCCCCAGCTCGCCTTCATTCTTCAGGGGAGGCAGACGGGAGAAGTCTGAGTGCCTTCGGAGGCCTCACAGCCAGTGGAGACTCAACCCCAGATCTCCCAGCTCCAAACCACAAACCAAACAAACAGATCAACAACCACCCCGGAGGCGGAGGTGATGGAGGGCGAGGGGAGGCAGGCGGTCCCTTTTTAGCCCCAGGATGGAGGTGTCTAGGACCGTAAGTAGGCAGGTTTGGGGTGGGTAGTCTGTTTCCCCTTCCTATCCGGTTCCCCGCTGGGCCCCGGGTCCCCAGACCTCCCACAGGCAAGGCATCCCTCACCAACCGGCCCGGGAGAGGGTCCCAGCCCGCTCCGTGAGCAGGTGGTCAGTGTTCCCTGAGGGAGCTGGCCCTTCAATGGGAATGGGTTCAGGGCGAGGTTATGTCCATCAGCTTCCAGGACAAATTCTCCGTTTATTAATTCTCCTCCATTACGCAGGCAAAAGTAAACACGCTTTTCTCAGGCAGCCTGGCACAGAGGCCTTCCCTATTCAAACACTGCAAGAGTCTTGGACGTATGAGCTCCCAGGCCTGCTTCCCAGGGGGCCCCCTGGCCTCCTGCCCGCGACATCCCAGCCTGCCGAGACAGGCGAGCGGAGCTTTGTGCGGTGGCCGGCTCCAGGGTCCGGCGCTCAGGGCCTGGGAATGGCCTCGGGTCTGCAGGAAGCACGGGAGATCCCGGTCGCCCGGGGTACAACAAGGTCAGAAAGGGTCTGGCCAAAGCTGCGGGCGTCACACCCGCCCACTTAACCCCTCCACGAGGAAAGTGCTCTGCAAAGGCGTGGAATGCCTGCTTCCGTTTAAATCATGCTTTTAAAGGTGCGGGGAGAAGAAAGGAATAAGGAAACACGATAAGGAAATCAAAAGAACTGCTAAATGCAGGCTTTGCAAAGGCGGATGCTGCAGGTGTTTCTAAGTACTTGCTCAGGAATCGTTTACCTGTGGAGCAGAGATGATTGCATGGTTTTTTTTAAGTTTACTTATTTCTTTTTGAGAGAGAGAGAATCCCAAGCAGGCTCCGCACTGTCAGTGCAGAGCCCGATACGGGGCTCGAACTCACAAACCACAAGATCGTGATCGGAGCCGAAGTCAGATGCTTAACCAACTGAGCCACCCAGGCGCCCCGAGAGTCGCCTGTTTTATACCAGCTTCTTGCAGCCTGGGCAGGAATCTCACAATTTGTTTTTTCCTTCTATTTCCGCCCCCTCACCCCCCCCCCCCCATTTCTGATTGGGAAGGGGAAAAAAAAGCCTCAAACCACACTGCATGAGGCATAAAGTCAAGCTGCAAGCACCAGAAAAAGGGAGGCGAGACAGAGAGAAAGAGAGAGAGAGGGAGGGAGGGAGAGAGGGAGGGAGGTCACCACCCACCTTGCCCTTGGATGAGCCGTGTCCAAAGCCCCCAGGAGCTTGCCCGGGTGACTTCTCCTGTGACCAATGTCACATGGAGGAAGCAAGAATCAAGACTCTATTAAATGTAAGCATCTTTTGGCTGCAAAACTGCTCTCCCCCAGAGCTAGACTAATTGGGAGGTGCCTTTACATTATGTTTTTACTTATTTTTTTATGTTTTCTTTATTTTGGGGAGAGCGCCAGCGGGGGAGGAGCAGAGAGAAGGGAATAGAGCATGAGAAGCGGGCTCTGCGCTCGCGGCGAGCCCGATGCGGGGCTTGAACCCATGAACCGTGAGATCATGACCTGAGCTGAAGTCGGACGCTCAACCGACTGAGCCCCCCGGGCGCCCCGCATTATGTTTTTACAGAAAGAGCCTCATCCCACCTCCCAGGTCATGCTACCTCCCCCCAACGCTTTCCCATTACTGTCTCTCCTGGAAGTGTCCCCTGCAGCTCAACCAAAGGGGACTGAAGACTATCCGGCAACTCAAGACTGAGATCTTTTTGGTTTTCCGTGGAGTGTGGCCACAGGCACTTTCTAGAATGTTCCTCTATCCTTTCCAATTTCAGGGCTGTTGACCAGGGTGGCTGGTCCCCACCTGGCACCCCCTCCAGCCAGGCTATGAGCCCAAAGCCGGGGCTGTGTAACCCCTTCCCAGACCAGGGACTGGTGACTCCTGGGGACCCTTTCTCGCGGCAATATTTCTAATTTTTTTAATGTTTATTTTTGAGAGACAGACAGAGCACTGGGGGCGGGGGGGGGGGAAGGGGGCAGAGAGAGAGGGAAACACGGAATCTGAAGCAGGCTCCAGGCTCTGAGCTGTCAGCACAGAGCCCAACGTGGGGCTCAAACCCATGAACCGGGAGATCACGACCTGAGCCGAAGTCAGACCCTTAACTGACGGAGCCACCTAGGCACCCCTCAACAGCAATATTTCTAAATGCAAACACAAAATACCCAGAACTCCAAAGGAGACTGATCATACTGAAATACGCTTACCCAAATATTTTACAAAAGCCCAGCTTTACGGTACAGTAACGGAATAGACGGGCTTCTTTAGTAACGATTACAAATCACGATCTGGCAGGGGGTTCTGTCACTTCCGTCATGTCGAGGCAACAAATGGGCACAGACGGTATTGCGTGATAGCTGCACCATGTGACATCTGCACCGCCTCTCACGTGGTGTGAAAGGAGCTGTGATTTCCGTGGGCTGCCCACTCTGCCGCAGCTCGGGGCCGAGCTTCCCGGCGGAGAGAATGCCCGATTCCGGGCGGAGGGGAGGGACAGTGAGGGTGTGACCTTCTTCCAGTCCGGGTTCCCGGTCCCCCTGAGTCCTGTGCTCGCGATGCCTTTTCCAGCCCCACCCCCACCTCCTTCCTTCTCTGCAGCCCCAGCTGGGCGTGCAGACAGCTTGTGACCCTGGGACCGGCAGGTGGGGTGCAGCTCTGAGGGCCTCAGGCCTGGGCGAGAAGCTGGTTCACAGGCACCAGGAAGCCCCCCTCCCTTTAATCTTGGGGGGAGCATCACGGGAAAATGCCCTGTGTTTCCATCCTCCTCGATCCAGCCCAGGGGTACCCTTCACACCCAGCGGCGCCCCGATGGTGATTCTGAGGCCTGTGGCAGCCCCCTCCCCTCCCCACGGCGAAGCAGGACACGCCTACCTTCCGGTTCCTCCACGCTGCTGGCTGCGGTGGTCGGGGGTGCCACGGGGATCTCTGTGGGGTTCGGGATGGGAGGAAGAGAAAACCAGGTGAGAAGATGTTACTTTTGGCCTTAGAAAAAAGACGAGCACAGCACAGACTCCTCCCCGGGCCCTCCTCCCTTCCCCACTCCAGAAGAGGAGGGCCAGGGAGGAGGACGAAGCTGATACGGGTGCCCGGAATGCGGCCTTGTTCTCCTTCGGGGAGGCACGTGAAGGGACGAGGCGGGGGGATCTGTGCCCCTGGCCTGGGCTCCCGCAGGCTCACACCTCACAAACTAAGGCATTTTCTCCGTGGCCAGAACAGACCGGCCACGGAAGAGCCAAGGGCCTCAGAGACACATGCGCTTTCCGGGGGTCGCTCCCTTTGTACCTCAAATGGCAATTCTTTCATACTAGCTCCTGACTCCGCCCTGTGACCAGGAAAGGGGAGGAGGTTCAGCCAGTCTTCAGGGGGGAAACCACAGACCAACGGTCCCTCAGGGGAGGGACTGGCCTCCTCGGGTGAACAGAAGGGTCACAAAGGTCTCCACGAATCCCCCAGACTCTGGCCACCATCTGACTGTTGGGGGCAAGACCTCCCTCAACCTCAAGACTCTGGATCAGCTGGGGCCTGAGGCTTGGTGGGTCCAGATGGAACACTCAGGCCTGGGGGCCTGCCCGAGAGTCACCTTCAGAAGGAATGGGCAGGGGATCCAGCTCTCAATTCGGAGTCAGATCCTGCTCTCAGGGGACTTTTCTCTTGGCCCTCATGAGCTACGCAGTCCCAGCAGAGTTTCCGGAGGGAACATCGATGGCCCACGTATGTCCAGCAATGGGGCTCCCCAGCCCCAGTGCCTGGGCCAGTACTGGGCCATGTGCAGAGGGCCCGGCTCCCAGACCTGCGACAAGTCAGGCACCAGCCCCCAGGGAACACCGTCTGGGCGTCTGTAGCCAGCAGGTGGCTGCAGGAACACACGGGAATCCCCGTGGGAATGCCTGGGCCCAGCATCGGCCCGCCCTTTGTGAGGGGAAGGGAGAGAAGGCACAGAGTGGGTCAGAAAGCGAGGGTTCCGCTTCCCGAGGTTTCTGCCTCCCTCTGTCCCCAGACTGTGGACCATCAGCTCCATTTCAAGGGCTTTGAAGTGATGTTTCCAGCCATTTCTGAGCCCGACCCCCAGCCCCACCTCCCCGTGGCAGCCCTGGGTTCCCCCCAGCGTTCTACAAAGGTTCACTTTGCAGCTTTTTGGACAGATGGAGGAGAAGGGTTTTTGCCAATACTAAGACTCTGACAGCTATAGGTAGTCGTGAAAACCATTTCTCCCCTGGATGGATACTGAGCTCAATTTCCCGAAGGCCGGGGTCCGGGTTATCAGCTCTTACCGGACCCCTGGGAACATCCCGGGTCAATGGACTCTCCTGCAAAGAGCCAGCCAGTAGATACATTCGGGGCTCCTCAGGTCGTCCGGTCTCCACTGCAGCTACTCAGTTATCCTACAGCTCAAAGCAGCCACAGACAAGCAGATAAACCAGTGGGCGTGGCCGTGTCCCCATAAAACTTGATGGACACTTCACTTTTCATTGCCTATCATTCCACACGTCATAAAACGTTAGTCTTCTGACTTTGCCTTCAAGCATTAAAAAATTATCAAAAGAAAACATTGAGCCACACTAAAACAGGTGACGGGTCAAATCCCCAGGGCCAGAGTGGGCTCACCCTTGCTCTGGAGAAACAGACCTCATCCCTCGGGTCGGCCTGCTTAGCCGGGACCCGATATTTTTCTGCTCTCCCTTCTGGGTTAAGTTGGCCTTGCACAAGGAGTCGAGAAGGCCAAGGCCGGGGGCCGGCTCCCAGCCAGGCTGGACGTCCAGCCAAGGCTAAGTCTCCATCATGACACCTGGTATCATCCTACCGGTTGCAGAACAGTAAGCCCCTTCTGAGCCGGGACCACCGCTGAGTGACCCCTGCCGTCTTGCTCATCCCTTCCCCTGGTTTCAGCGACTGAGGAGTTAACAGCTGGGCCGAGGGGCCCCCAAGACACTAAGGGGTGCTGTCATCCATCATGGCCCCGGGGCGGGGGGGGTCACGCATGGGAACCTGTAGTGTCAGTCCCTTGTGAACCTGCCAGGGCAGGGGGGAAACTGGAACCCCGCAGCAGCCACAACGGTGACCCCCGGGACAAAGCCACCCCAGGTCCAGCGCCAAGGCAGAATACAGGAACAGGCCCTGGGTGGAGGAAAGGGGCTCGCTTTCCTCTGGGGGCAGGAGACTCAGTCACTGTCAGGACAGAAAACAGCAGACTGGCTCTGCTGAGCTCCCAGCTGCTTCTGCAAGAACCCCACGGGTATGGCGGGGGGGTGGGGGGGCTCGCATGGGGTCCCACCGAGTACAGCGCATCGAACGCAGAGACCCCACGTCCATCAGCGCTCGACCCGCTGGACGTCAGCAGTCAGGGTTGAGGAAGGGTTTCCCTCCCGCGCAGCCGGGGGCGGGGGCGGGGTGGGGGGAGGCTCGCACGTACTTATGCAGGGGGCGATGGGGGAGCGGCTCTGCTGGTAGCCTTTGGCACAACGGTTGCAGGTAATGCCGGTCACGCCGTCCTTGCAGGGACACTGGCCGGTGGTCTGGTTGCAGGTCTTGCCAGCAGCACCCACGGGGTGGCAATCACAGGCTGTGGAGGACACAGGACAGGAGGGTCAGAGGGCGGGCAGTGGCCAGCCCCACCCTTGGGGCTCCCCTTAGAATCCCATCCCGGACGAAGAGCGGGCCAAACCCACCCACACACCCACCCACACACCCACACCCACACCCACACACACACACATTCCAGACGCTCTGAGAACTGGCCACCTGCCTACCTGGAATGGGTAATGAAAATCAAACTGGACCATCTTTTTTTTTTTTTTTTAACGTTTTATTCATTTTTTGAGACAGAGACAGAGCGTGAGCAGGTGAGGGGCAGAGAGAGGAGGAGACACAGAATCGGAAGCGGGCTCCAGGCTCCGAGCTGTCAGCACAGAGCCCGACGCGGGGCTCCCGGACCATGAGGTCATGACCTGAGCTGAAGTCGGACGCTCAACCGATTGAGCCACCCAGGCGCCCCTCAAAATGGACCATCTTGAAAGGCTGTTTCAGCAGCAGGGAAGCAAAGCAGGGGAGCCCCTCCAGAGCCCCGAGAGGAAGGCTGGCCCGAGCTCGAGGATGTTTTGGCAAAGGCCAAGCCCACAGGCTGATCACAGGTGGGAGAGTTCAGAATCTCAGCGGGTGAGTCTGTGCCCCTCACTCCTCCACCCCCAGCCAGCTCCCGGCCCCCAGGTGTCCTTCCCTACCCTCCAGGTGGGAGGAATGGAGTTGGGGGCCCGACACAGCCGTGGGGCTGGCCAGGTCTGAGGTGGGACTCTCCAGGTTGCTGTGCCCGCCTTGACTGGCAGCCAGGTGGCCCGAGACCCAGGCTTCTGGATGGCACAACCCATAAGCTTTCACACCAGGAAGGGACACAGGGGTCACCTAAACACCCTGACTGGATGTGCCAAGACTAGAGAGGGGAAGAAATGTCCCGGGGCCTCGCAGAAAGGGAGCGGCCTTGCTGGGAGGTGGAGGCCCCACTGGGCAGGTCAGACAGCAGAGACAACGGGGAGTGGGGGGGCCACCTGAGTCCCTGGCTGAACGTGATGGGTTAGGAGGTGGGGGGGGGGGGAGGGGAGCTGTCTGCAGGAAGCTGGTGTTTCTGCCCCAAATGGGGAAAAAGACATCCAAGAGAATAAGGGCGAGCAGAGGGTCCCCTCCAGGGAAGGGAGGCCCTGGCTGTCATGTGGGCAGCCCGGGGTGCGGGGTGGCGGGGGAGGTTGTCGGTGGCTTTCTCTCATTGAAGGATCCACGGGAGCAAAATGGAACCGTCCCAATCTCTCCCGTGTATACAGCAGTAACATCCCCGCTAGGAGCAGGTCTTCTTAAATCAGCCCTACGTTCATGTTCATTCCCTGTTGGTCTTGTCTTCCTTTGTCCCCTCTTCCTTAGTAAGAAAGGACTCAGCCTGACACAAGCTGGGGCTTGTGCTGTGAGGGGGAGATGGCTGGAGCAAACCTCTGGCCTCTCCCTGGGCCCTTCAGTCTCCTCCTGCGGCGGGAAGGGTGACCGAGCACGGGCAGCATCTCTAAGACGGCCACGTGGAAGCTGAGGGCCCCAGCACGCGCCCCCCCCCCCCCCCCCCGTCCCGAGCCTGATGGGGGCACAGGCACCGGGTGGGTGTGGCCTCCCGAGGCTCATGCCAGCTGACCTCCGGTGGCCTGCCTTGCAAGCTTGCTGGTAATGCAAAGATTCCTGCCAAACTTCCTCCCCTCCGTGCTGACGGAACACAGCTGCGTGCCAGTAACTTCTGGATCCCGGCACTTGGCTGCAAGGAGGTCACCAAAGGTTGCTCGGGCACTGAAGGGCCAGAGCCGAGCCGCCGTGGGCACGGGGCGCCTCTCCCGAGGCAGGAGCTGTCCAGAGCAGAATCTGGGCCAGGGGTGGGGGTGGGGGTGCATCAGGAAGGTGGCAACAGTCCTCACCTCACCTCACCCCCTGCCCACCTCTAGTCTTTGCTGCCCCTCGCGGCTGGTGACCTGTCGGCTGCCTGGGCGGGAGCCAGGCGCCGGCTGACAGCGGTCGGGGCCGAGGGCCATCCTCAGTGAGGGCAGGCCCGTCCTTGGATCAGAGAAAGGGGCTGCCTCCTGCTGGGTTTCCAATCTATCTGCCCCGACTCTGCCAACACTTTGAGCCACTGGCCCCTTTCACCTGGTCCGACAGAGGCAGCAGGCTGGCTGTGCTTCCGCGAAAATCGCTATTCCAGGAAGAGACGCCACCGAGGTCCCAAAACGTGGGGGCCTCAGAAGGCTTGCTCGGGTCCCTTCTAGGGCAGTGGGACCAGCGTTCCTCCAGCTCAGCGCCACCGCCCGGATACCTGTGAACACCTGAGCGCACCCACAAGCTCTCACACGCCGTCCCCTCGGCTCCTCACGCCAGCCTGTGGAATCGGCACGGCCACAGAGGAGGGGACTGCGCGCTGGCCCGGAAAACCACACGGGAAGGGAGGCAGACGGGGCCTGATCGCGGAGGGCCTCAGCGTCTCCGGACAGCCCCCTCGGGAGTTCCTGTTCTACAAGGAGAAAGACCTGCTTACCTGTTGAGACCAAGACTTGGCAGGATTGCTGTTACAGGCGGCCAAGTGCAATCCTGACAGCCTCGCCCGGAGCTCATTCTCAAGTCCAAGCACAACAGCCCCAAAGTAAGGACCTTCCCCCAAAACCCACAGACAGAGAAAGCCCAAGTTCTCCCCTCCGTGCAAAGAAGGGTGAGCTTCAAGGTGTGAGAAGAAGTGACAGGTGACAGTGCCCCACAGTGGCTTCCTCTGTAGCCCGGGACAAGACAATCCGCTAGCAACGTCTGAGGGAGGGAGTCTGAGCCCACAAAGGCGGCCCCAGGCCCTGGCCCCTGGGGAGAGAAAACCAAAGGGCACTTGCCGTGTCCCCTCAACCCGGAAGCACGGCCACACACACACCCAGATTTCTACAAACTCACGTGCACACACACTTAGACCCCCACAGCTACACACACAGACTCCTACAAACTCACACGCACTGGCCCAAGGGGCACCACAGCGGGCAGGGCAGTGGAGGGGTGGGGCGGGGCTGAGCAGGGGTGCGGGGTGGGGGTGGGTGGGAGATGCAGAAGTGAAGAGAGCGGAGGTCTTTCCTTTTGCGAGGGGTCCGGGGAGGGGACGAGGACAGAGCTTCCCTAATTCTTCCGAGAACGGGGCCTGGGGCAGGGCGCGTTCCGCCCCTGGGAGCCCATCTGGTGACTCCAGTTTCCCTGGAAGTCAGCCACTTTTTCGAGGAGGTCAATCCCCTCCATGGCAGGTCACCCTGTCTGCATGGGCCAGGCAGCACCTGGTCATGGGAAACAATGTACCCGAGGTTTTTCCACAAAGAGGAAGGTGAGACCAGACGGAAGCCCAGGGCCCTGAGAAGGCGGGAGGATTAGGTTTCTCACGCACTCGGCGGGCTGGAGTGCCTCCCGGTGCAGAGGGGAGCCTGGGCCGTCTCTGCCCAAGGCCATCAGTCAGGGCCAGCCAGCTCGGGGCACACAGGCGCTTTCACATGAGCCTCAGGACGCCCAGGTCCGGGCCTGTTCCTGCCAGTACTGCTGTGTGACTCTGGGTTAGTGCCTCGCCCCCTCTGGACCACAAGGGGCTCATCTGTAGGACGGAGGTCTGCACGGCCACTAAAGTCACTTCCAACTTAACAGTGTACTGCTTGTCTCCACGGCTCCAAGGACCCAGCCGGGACCCCCGCCGTCACTGCGGTCCTGGCCCAGAGGACGGCGCCCAGTGCACCCGGCCTTCCGTCCACACCCTCTGACCGTCCTGCCCCGACACTGTCGCCCGCTGAGCTGCGCCAGGATCTCGCAGAGATTCGGTCTGTCGGCTAAGAGAAGCTCACCAGGCGTTTCTGGGTGCCCTGGCAAGGCTGACCCGAAAGGCAGACCGTCCCGACCCCGGGCCGCCTGTCCCGAGCACTGCCTCTCCCAGCACCTTCTGATGCGCTCTGTCCCGGGTCCCTGAGGGCCCACAGCCAGCATCAGGACGGGGAGCATGTCTGAGGCCGGCCGCCTCCACCGCGGCTCACACCGTGGCTTTTATAAATGCATCCTGGGCTCCTATCAGGGCATCTGGTTCCTTTTCCCCGCAGACCTGGCCCCAGGGGGCCCTCCGGGTCGGGCAGGACCCTCCAGGGGGCATGCTTGCAGAGGACAGGGGAGCTGGCTCGGCACCCGGACCCTCTGAACCTTCTCCAGGCAGAAGGGGTGACAGGGAACAACCACAGCGCTGACCCCGGCTTCAGAGGTCATCGCGGCCGCCACCCGGGCTTCCGGCCAGTCGGGAAGGACAGCTTTGGACCTGATCTCACGTACAGGCTCAACTGTGTCCCCCCAGCATCCATGTTCCTAACCCCAGGTACCTCAGAGCGTGAGCGTCTTTGGAGAGAGGTGAGTAGGGTAAAATGAGGTCACCGATGTGACTGGTGTCCCCTGAGAAGAGATGAGGACACAGACACACACAGAGGTAAGACCGTGTGAAGACAGGGGGTGAAGGTGGCCATCTGTAAACCACAGAGAGAGGCCCCAGAAGAATCCAGCCCTGCAGGTTCCTTCACCTCACACTTCCAGCCTCCAGGACTGCGGGGAATAAATGTCTACTGTTTAAGCCCCGCACCTTCCCAGGCCCATTGCTGGCCTCGAGAGAAGGCAGACAAGCAGCCTGGGGGTCCTGCTCATGCTGTCAGTGAACGTGGCTGCTCCCCCAAGGGCCGTGTGTGCCTGTGGTGCTGGGTGGGGGTGAAACATTCTCCTCTGCGTCGATGAGACTGGTCTGTGTGCCTGGATGCCATCCACAACGAAGGCAGAAGCAGGCAGGGCCCTCCATGTGGGCCAGGGTGAGGTCCAGCTGCTGTGGGAGATCAGGTAGGGAGGAGGGAGAGGGAGGAAGGAAGAGGAAGGAGGAGGAGGGAAGAGGGTTGAGAAGAGAGGAGGATGGGGGAGAGAGATGAGGAAGGGGAGGAGGGGGGAGGGGAAAGCTGAAGGAGGAAGAGGAAAGAGGAGGAGGAAGGGGAGGAGGGAGAGGAGGAGGAAGGA